CACTGTTCTCTACTACGAATCTCAGTGTGTTTCATTTAGGTCTGATCTAATCGGAGCACCTGTTTCCACATGAACTGGACATTTTTACGTTTCTTCCTACTTGCCATGTCTCCATGAAGGACAGGTTTGTGGAGTGCAGAGCAAATGCTGAGGCTCTGCAGCTTCGTTTTTTCTGGATTAAAGCTCTGACTATGAAGAACTTCTAAAAATCCAAAGTGAAGGGAAAAACAATGAATAAATGTCAGAAATGTCAAAAAGAGGGCTGACATTATTTTTCTAACCCATGGGGGGAAAAAAAAAACAAAAAAAAAAAAACAAAACACCCCCGCTGTAATATTTCCGTCGGCACAAAGACTCAACCAATAATGGAGTCTAGTATTCCATATATAATATTCCAGACATGATTTTTTAGTTTCATGGTCTCCCAGAATGTATTGGTTTAACTTCAATATTCAGAAATTGTAGCATTTTAAGAAAATTAAAGAAAGATACATGATGTGAAGCAGAACGAGTGATACATTTGATGGAAAGCACTCCCTTTGGTCTAACAAAATTAATCTGAAACAGATCTCTGAAACGTCTATGAGCTCTGACAAGCGGCACAACATCTCTGTTGGTGCATTTGGGGCACGGATGAGCCTCTTGGAGGGGGGTTATATGTGCACAGTCATGGTGCGCAGCTGGTGCCCAGTGCTTGTTATATAGCCCCCCCCCAAGCTCCAGGCCTTCCGTTTGACTGACTGATGTGGTTCAAGCCTCATCTTCCCTGCAGGTCATGCTCACTTGTTGATGTGGCATTCAAGGAGGAAATCAGAGTTTGACAGGATTGAGTGGGAGGCTTCATGGCTCCATCTATGTGGGACCACGCCCCTCTGCTACAGTCCTTTTCCACATGTTCATACGTGGGAGGGAGAGTTAGTAAGATGTGAAGGAAGTGGGATTCTGACAGATAAAGGGGGGGCAGGGCAGGTAAGACTATGTAAAGAGCCTACTCAGCGTATCACAGCCATTGTCACAAGCTGAATCCATCACTGGAGAGCTTATTGCCATGACAACCGCTTCCACAGCATGATGAGAAGCAGGCAGACTGCAAGAGCCCTGATAACAGGGGAAAGCAGGCTTTTTTTGTCTGTTAATGGGTGGATTTAAGATATTAAAAGCTGAATGAATGCGCATCTGCAGAACATTCTCCACACATATACTTAACACTGGAATGTTGTATTGTTTGGCAGACTTTGTGCCTACATGATGCTTCTCAAAAAATGTATTTAAAAAAAAGGCTCAAGTTTTAAACATGCTTTCAAAGTAAAAGAGGCAGAAATCTGTTGAAGATCTTTGTTCCCTCCTCTATTTCAAATACTTCACATGCACCAACCAGATGATAAAACAAAACAAGAAATAACACTATTTAGGAACAAATCAGATGCACACATTGGAGACCAGTGATAAGCATCCCTGCAGACACCTTCATCAATGAGGGATGAATGCAAAATGGCTACTGGCAATTTTCAATAAGTGGCCTTTAGCAGCAGGAAGAGCAAATTGTGCACTTTTTTTTTCTTTTAAAGAGAGTAATTAGTGCCAATCAGTGAAAAGGAAAAAAAAAATCCCAATTTGTTCCAGGATTGAAACCCTGAATCTAGTGGCCCCACCCTTCCCTCTATTGAGCTGATTGAGCTAAAAAGCGCCGGCATATGAGAGGAAAACGGCAATGATTGTGTGCTCGACTCTGAGAGAAAAAGAAAGGGAGGGCTGGCAGTCAGCAGAGTCCACACAACACCCGAGCAAAAAGAGGAACACCATGCATGATGAGTGGCCATTTTAGGGATGCAAGTTAGCACATCCTTGGACACTTTAAATTTTTTTTTATCGATTGCGACACCATCTTTTGAAACAAAACATATAACCATGACGGCCGTCAAACGCTGTGGAATGTATAAAAGTTACCAAACATGACATGTTTTATTTTAACCAAAGACTCGCATTGATGGTGAAGCTCTCCCACCCGCTGCAGGATGTGGGATCCGACAGACCGGTCCACACCAGCTGGGCTCTCTTTGTGCCTGGGATGTGGTCTCCTAGCAACCAAACGTGAAGAAGAAAAAAAAAAAAAAAGGAGAAGGAGGATCGGCGCATAGAGTTAGGGAGGGGCGAGCACTGCATCAATTTGAGCTTTCCACCATATCACCTTCACCACACAGCAGCTGCAGTGTGCCTCTGCAGACAAAAGGCACCCAGATAACCCGCCACAAAAATTCCCTCACATTTCTACCTGCAGCGACGACAGATCCTGAAATCAAGCCGGACATCAGCTGGGACCGATTCTGATGAATATCAATACTCTGACTTCATAATCAATATGCTTAATTCAGTGTGGCATCACACCATCAAAAATGCATGACAAAAATTTAGCATGAAATGACAGAAAGTAATTAGAATCATTAGGAAAGCCAGAGCACACCCCTGGGAGAGAACATTAACATCAAATCCCTCCCATCTATCATTTTTAAAACACCTCCCCTCCTCCTGAACACATGTTTCTGGCCTCTTTTCAAAAGGAAGAAGGAAAAAGACGGCAGCACAACGCTGAAAACATAATCTAAGCTTTATTCAAAGCTGCAGAAGATCATGTAGCCACATCAGAGGAACAGATGTCCACCTCGTCAGCTGGAGTAATTCACAGTAGTAGAAAAACAACAGATTCATCAAGTTAATTACCACACAGGGCTTTGTTTCTAAACTAAAGAATCAATGAAATAGATATTCTTTTGCTGTGATTTATTTTCCTTTAAAAACAAACTCATACTTTCACTCTTAATTTCTGTCCTCGTATTCACTATAGTTAACACTTTCTCAAATCCCAAAAAGGACTCTCTGCAGCCTTCCAGGTGCGTCCCACTGCACTGCAAAAACTGATCTAAAAATGAACATATTTACCCTTAATTTGAGCAGGTAAATAATATGATCTTATCATAAGATTTGCCAATAAAATTAGCATTTTTGCCCTTCAATTAAGATAATTAGACATATGACACCCTATGAAACACCATAATAAACTCCAACCAGTGTCCTAGTCAGCCTGTTCTGGTCTAACAGAAATATATAACGTTTTATACGTCTCTTATGTCTCACCAAGCAGTTGGAATAACAACAAGTCAAACACAGTCCTTGAGTAATGAGGTGTGAATCTGACCAGCCAAGTGGGGATTATTTCCTAAACGAAACCAAAAACGCTGTGTCTCTTTGCAAGAGGAAAGGAGCCTGCAGTCTGAGCCAAAAGGGATGCATTTTTTTAAGCTGGAAATTTACACACAAACCCAAGTTTGTATTTCTATCTATAATCAAGACTTTACATTGACTTACATTTATTTAGGTCACTGCATTTATGCGTAGCCCGGACAAATAACCATTAACAGAATATACCCAACTCTAACCTTAACCTAAAGATAATTCACATTCATTTTAACTCTAAACTAGGGCTGCATCTAAAGATTGTTTTGCAAATTGATTTATCTGTTGATTATTTTTTCGATTAATTTAACAATAAACACAAAGCCAAAGGTTCCTTAAAGAAGACTTTTTACGAAATTAAACCAGGTGAAACTAAACCTTTCTGCTTGAGGAGTTTTGGATAGAGCATATTGAGAGAAGAATGTTTTTTTAACTTAAATACAAAATGTTCAAATTGCCATTTTGGTATGACGATTTTTCCAAAGATCGAATAATCACGATTAATACAATGAATTACTTCAGCCAAACTCTAAACTGACTCTCTGCAGTAAAAAAGGGGTTATGCCACATTAGGAATGGCCTTTGTCCTAATGTCCTAAATAGGCAACATAAACAAGTACACACACACAAATTTGTTTCCCTATCTTTGCAGGGCCTTTCCATTAACTTCCATTAATTTCTATAGCCTAACAGTGAACCTTACCTTAAACTCCATTCACACCTCAGTCCTAAACATGACCCCTGACCCACAAACATCAATTCCCTTCATGAGGTCCAGCCATCAAGTCCCCCAAGGAGCAGTGGGTCCCCACAATGTGCTATTTTTCCAGAAAATGGGCTCTATAATGTATTAAGACAAGTACACACAGAAAACCAAACGTGATAGCCAGAATTTGAAACAGTTGTTTTACATCCTGACCCATCTCTTTGATATTTAGATTCATTTCAGATTTTAATTTACCAAAAATAAGGAAAACATGTTCCATTTTTTTCCACTTCAAACTTTTACTCTACTCTGTCACATAAAACACCCAAGAGTTTATGATTGATCTGAGAAAAAGCTCAAAGGGGTATGAGCACTTTTGTATGGCCCTATACCTGTAAAAGGTCTGTCTAGACTCCCTCATTATTTAAGATCAATTTGTACACATTCATAAAATAATTGGACAATATGATGAGAGAAGAGAATGCAGGGTTTGGTCCTTTGTATCCTGCTGCAGTGGGAAGAAGACAAAACATCACAGGATTCCCATTGACAGAAAATGTTACTCTACAACAAAGGCATTTGGAAGGCCTAATAATGGCCTCAACCACAAGACAGGAGAGCAAACTGCTGGAAACCGCAAGTCAGAACAAAGGTTATAGACAAGGGAATCATTGGATACTAAGGCTGTTGTCCCTCTGCATTCTCATGGATTAACCACATCACTGTTGGCTATGAGCAAAGTCTGCCCAACCTATGCGATTCTTTAATCTCTACACCTGTGTGTGTGCATGGCCAAATGCACAGGAATGAAAGGTAAACTGTCCCCAGCTCTCACCACAAATTTCCATTTGTTTACATATTGCACTACAGCATCCTTATTCCGGTCAGGGGCCGTCAGAAGTCTAAACAAATGCAGTCTGACCAACACCTCTGCAGCTTCTCATATTTGAATTCTACAGGGCAGCAGTTATTTCCAGTTACATTTTGCCCTCCAATCAACTCAGATGCAGGAAAAGTGTAAGAAAGCAAATTCCTTTCAGCCCCTACTACACGTGTGTGCTACCTGCTTGCCGTCGAGCGTGTAGATCCTCTTGACCGCTCCACTCTCCAACTTGATGGCCTCCGTAATGTCGGTGAGCACCTGCTCGAAGGAGTGTGCCGTCTTCTTGTTGAGCAGGACGCGGACGGCTTTGCGAGGCTTTACGCCGCTGCGCATCACAGTGACGAGCTTGGGTCGGATAAAGTCTTTGCCCTCTCTGGACTCGCCGGCAGCCTTGGCAGCCAAAGATTGCATGTTCTTCTGGCTCGCAGAGGCCTTCACGTTCACAGACCAGTTGGGATTGACGTTCTTTGTGTAATCGACTTTCTTGTAGAAGTTCTCTGATGCACAAACATAGCTTTCCCCTGAGGAGAAGAAAGAGAAGAAGTGGGTTAGTGTGTTGAGCTATTTGACACCTGAGAGTCTCAGAGCGCCAAATCACCATCTGACCCTGTATGAGCGATATGGATCAGCTAGATAGATTACATCTATTCATTCTCATTCAATATAATAAACTGAATTTCCTATCCTGTCATTCTTTCATTAACTGATGATTGCATATATTCACCAATTCATTAGCACATTTAGCAACCATGACTTGACTGCTGATTGAAGCTTGGATCGAGAAATTTCTACTTAAATCTACTGTACTTTATATTGTTACTTTTTAGGTTAAAATGATTGCCAGAAAAGATCATGGCTGTATGACATCAACTGTTTGCATGGAGTATTGCCTGCTTGCTTTGATTAGGTAATTCATGTTTTATTTAGTTTGAATTGAGACCCCCCCCCAAAAAAAAAAAAAATCTGCAGCACATATCAGGGATCAGTTACCAGGCGTGTCAAAGTAGTTCCAGAAAGGGCCGTGTGGCTGCTGGTTTTCTTTCCACCCAAGCAATAGCACACCAGACTCGATTCATCCCATCAAGTCATCAGGTTAAGACTAGACTCACCTCGATGAGAAGAATGGAGTGTGGTGTGCTACTGCTTGGGTGGAAAGAAAACCAGGAGCCACACGGCCCTTTCTGGAACTAGTTTGACACCTGTGAGTTAAACAGTGGGGGTGAGTATTGGCATGGTGTTGCGATACAATGTGTTACAATACGATATTATAACGATTTTGCATATCGTGATGCATACTGCAGATTCCAGCAATCAAAATTGGTATCCATGTTTTTTGGAGTTTGAGTCAGTCCACGTCTTCCACTGTGACTGCCTCAACTACAAATATGTAGCTGCACCGCACAGCAAATGGGCTCCACAGCTCTATCTGCCAGAGTGGCGGTCTAGAGACAGCCCATTTTCCCTCATAGGGTTAAAATATTTTGTTTTTTAAATCGATATTAGGAATTAAAAGATCGGTATTATATTGGGCAGTCGAAAATCATAATATATCAACAAATGGATTTTTTCCCATAATTGGTATCGGCCTTTAAAAAAACTATTGGTTGATCTCTATAATGGTGAATCTCTATCCTTTCAGAAACATCAATGGTTAATGGAAATAAGATGTTTCATGTGTTTTGGAGAGGGAAGATCTGGAGAAGGAAACAGATTTTGAATAATCTTCCACATTGTCTTTATTTGTTAACAGCCTCCAATGCCCAACCCCTGCGGTAAAATGAGGGAAGCATTTTTTAAAAACACCCAGAATGTTCTAGATTAACTTTTCCACAAAATGTTTTATACATTCAATTAGGGAGAGAAAAAGAAACTTTTAGTTAGTGACCTATTGTCTTACCTTTGAGGTCTAAATATAACAAAACGGAAACGGAAAATATGCCCCTCATCCCCGTTATCTTCATATGTCAGGTAAAACAACTCTTCTGAGATGAACGACGACTACCAAGGAAATAAAAAATAAAGGCTCAAAATATCAGTAACTTAGTCCAACAGGGATCTGTTTGACAAATCAAAACAATAAATCTCATCGCTGGAGAGCTCCAGCAAATAGGATAAAGTCCCTCTAACAACCGTTAGAGCTTCCCTACATCTCAGTTAACCATTCAGGAGGCCTGCCAAAATAAAAGCCTGTCATGAACTCATTGAAACACTAGGTTATAAATAAAAAAAAGGGTTGAACAAAATGAATAATAATCTTTAGTTCTTTTACCCAGAAGATCATCTGAAAAACCTTAAACAAATTTTGTTTAATCATTTCTAAGTTTAAGAGGGTTTTTTTCTTTCTAGTAGGAAATTGATCTAAGTTCTCTCTCTGGGGTTTTTATCCTCGCGTTAAATAACATTTCTATGTTTTTTTTTTTTTCTTTTTACACACATCCTTCCCACAGGAACCGTAAAGCTTCTGCATATTCTTAAATGAAATATTTCTTTATAGATACACGATTTATTCCCAAAGTGGTTTAACTTCTGGTTTCCTTTACGAGTTGAAATAATATAATCTAGTAGAGCAAAAAGAAAAGGTTTCATTTCATACAATTTGATTATTCAAATAAATTGGAATGAATGGAAAAATCACCTCCATCTTTATCTCTAATTTCCTATTCTTTCAATGGTTTGGAAGCATGTTGCTCTGAACCACACATTTTTTTTTCCTTAAACGAAGAGAATCCACCCAAATCTAAACAAATGTGCAGCACCTGGTACCTCAACGGCTTGAAATATCTCAATTTTCAGTGCGCGTATTGGGTTTCCCAAATTCAGACTAACAAAACATTTTCCTGCTTCCTGCTTGGATCTCGTTTATAGAGCTCCTGCAAGTTGAGTCACATTCCATTAAGACACATTTCTAAATTGATTTTGAAGTTTGACGTTTGGAAAAACTTGATTTTAGATTTTATTTAAAACTCAAGGCCCCGGCAAACATGACACCATTGCTGGCCTAAAGGTAACAATGGTGACCCTTTCCCCTGCTTCTAACAGGTCAAGATGGAAATAAAATGCTGCATTTTTTTTTTTTTTGCTGACAGTTCCCCAACTAGATGTTTTCACTAACTAACTACTTTAAATGTGGACAAATTCTGAAACATATGACCTGATATTATAATACATTAGGTACCATTAAACATATGTTAATATTTCAGATAACTATCAGACACCACAGTGAAAGTCCACCTGGCTCGCTTGACCATGCAATCAAATAGGGAAGCTTCTATCAGCTTACTAGTGTTACACCATATTCTGTGCCTCATGGATCCCAATATATGAGGGAGTGCAGAGTATAGTTCCTGCTGTCTGTTTAACGTAGAGCGAATCACAGCGCTGTATGTGATATAGAAAAAATACAACAATAGCAACAGCATCCAGGACATAGTATAAGGAGCTGCTCTGCCACTGAAGGGGGAAAGATCAACAGATTCTGACGAGATAACTAGGAGAAAAAAAGCTTTGTCTCAATCAAAGTACCTCCAATTGTAGCTCCTATCCCCTGTTCCAAGCTCCTGTCCCTTAACCTTCTGTAAGATCAACAGTTAGACCACCTTTGTTGGTAGAATAGGAACTATGGACCACTTTGCTGAATCTGAACAGCCTTTAGCCTTATGACTGTCGTTATGGAATGGACAAATACATGAATGAAGCTGTTCAGTATAGGACTACAGCCTTCATGAAAACTACAACAACAAAAAAACAGTCTCAAAAGTGTAGTAAATAGCTAAAAATCTACTCTATAAAACTCAAACTCATCTAATTTAGCAGAAATAGCTATGCAACAGAAACATGTAACAATTAGACTGCTACTGCATAAAAAACTGAGATTAGGCAACTGCTGGGATGGTTAACGGTGTAAATAAGAGGGCCTCAAATTGCAAGAGGCATAGAGAAATGTAAAGTCATGTCTGCAGCTCACTAAGGCTGTGTAAGAGAGAGCAGGACTTTCTGCAGATAACAGAAAGGTTAAATGTATAGCAGCACAGTCGCTCTTTTTTTCCTTCGTCCATCATGCAAAATATTGTATTTGGAATCAGGGAGGTAGAGCTCAATAAGCTCAGGTTACAGGTTTAGCAATGCTACAATCACATTAATTACTAATATATGTATATATAGGTGGTTTTTCTCACCTCTTAACATTACCTCCTCTCCTGTTGCTATCTTGGTAACTAGGGGTGAGCATTTGTCATTTATTTTATTGTTATCGTAATAAATTATATCCACCATTGTTTCTAGATAGAAGAGCATCATAAAATATAATAAAAATATGCATCTTCACATGCAGTAACTGTGAGCAGTGTAGTGATAAAAAAAAATCACGGTTCTTCATGTAACTGGTGTCACAACGACTGTTTTTAGTTGTTATAGTTTTCTAGAGTAGCATTTGTGACAAGCATACCATTAATTTAAAAAAAATCTGCAAAAAGTTATGTTTTTTTTTATCCTCAGTTCAAATGTTATAACAGTTCTTCACCCCTAACGGTATCTTTAAACAAAAAAAAGGCAGTAGAGGCGCAATGGCAAAGAGAAAAAAAGAAAACCAGACGGAAATAATTAGGATAAATGTGGAGAAACTCAAGCTAAGACAAAGGGCACAAAACTAGATTACACTCTGCAGAGGAGGCTGAGTAATTAATTATATCCTGCAAAGAGGAAACACAATGAAATGTCCCCTCCAACCACATGCAGCTCAAACAACGGAGACAATCACCTTATGTTGAGCAAGCTAAAACTCTGCGGCAAATTCCGCACTATTAGTCACATAAAGTAAAATACAGCATTGGAAGAAGAAAGAATATCATCGTCTCTTCCCTAAAATTCTACAGAAACTTGATTTCTAGAGGTTAAAAAAAAGGAGGATGGTCAATGTTCTGACCAAGAGTAGTGTAATGAGGTGACTAGTTTAGGATAGAGACCCCTAAGAGCCTCACCGCACACAAAAAGTATTCACTGTATCAATTTAGGGCAAGAATGAAAGCAGCATTAACAGGAATTTTAAAATAAGAGGAAATGGAGATAAATTATTGTCTGTTACTGTTAAATTTTTTGTACTCATCTAAGACCCAGAGTGCAGTTAGAAGTTTCATTCACAAGTCTCCAACATCTTTACATTTCCACTGATGTCAGAGACCACAAGAATGTAAGCCTTAACATTTAAAGGTATTTAGCATTTCAAACAACTTGCAGTTTAGACCAGATGGAAAAGACCTCCTAAGTCATTATGACTGAGTGTTGTGTTTTACTGAAAAGGGAGACTTACTTTTGATTGTTGGAGGCATTTAAATTGATCTCAGTTTGTTTTTCCTAAATAGAAAACCAAAAATAATACATAGTTCAGCTTTGGTGTCTGTCCATATTTGGGAACCATGCTGTTTACATAGGCTTAGATGGATCCAATTTGTTCTTCTTGCAAACTCAGGTTTTATGTATCAGAGCTTGATGTGCCACAATAACATAATAATAGGTTGGATTTCTGAAGTGAAAACAGGTGTCTTCAGCAGTGTCACACATCTAGAGGCCAACATTGTAACCCCCCCAGTTCTTATGGATTTTTTTGTCGTGGCAAAAGATTCTTCCACGTGAGCGTTGGATCTTTGTAGCCCCTCCAGTGTAAGTCCTGACTATTCTATGCCCTTCGCTGTTTGATTAGAAGAGTTATGTTGAGCCAAATCAGTGACAGCTTGGATTGATATACAGTGTGAGTTAGAGCATTGAAAGATAAAAAACTGAACATTTAAACATGGAAAATGGACATGCTTCCAAGCAATTAAAATCCTATATTGCCTCTAAAAAAAATTATAGAAGTAAAAAAGGAGCCTTCAGTTCGGCCCCTCCCCCCAAAATGAAGACAGTTTCAGCTTGTGGTCGCATTGTAGCCGCAGGAACTCTGCAGTGACACTGAAATCATCTCTCATTGAAAAAAGGCTGCAGCTAAAAATGTCAGTATAATCATAAACTTTTTACTGTTTTAAAGGGAATTTTGAAATTTCAGTGTCTGAATTTTCAATGTTTGCATTTTGAGTGTTTGAAGGTTCAATGTTTAGGTTTTTCATTGCCATATCTCACATTCTTTGTCAATCCAAGCTGTCACTGATTTAGCTCCATAGAGTTAGGAGACAAAGTTATAACAGATATAGTTAAAATTCCTAATCACATGTAATAAGATGTTCCAACATATAACATGGCTGCATTCTTCAGTTATAGAATATATTTTCCAAATTTTACAACCAAAACATTTAAATACCACAAATGTCTTCTGGGTTTTGGCAAGGATCCTTCTTACCTTCCTCCAGCTCGTCCAAAGATGTGATTTTTCGTGATCCGTCAATGGTGAAGATAAAGCGGACTCCCTGGGGCAAATTGATGTGGTCAGAGAGGGAGCGTGTGAGGTCGGCCAGGAGGGAATCGAAGGTGCGAAACCTGTCGTTGGCCACGGCGTACACAATGCCCTTGAAGTATCGGTCCCCATTACGGTAGAAGCGCACCTTTTTGGCCTTCTTCTCATTGGTGAGTGCCTGCAAGGTGCGCGTACGGTAAAAACTGCAGTGGGCGCTGTGCGTGGGGCTGGGCAGTCCGTTCATCCGTCCGCTCCGTGGGTTACGGGACGTCTTGTCCCTCTCGTCAAAATGCCCAAAGTCCAGCTCCATGGTGGCTGTGGTGGTTGTGAAGGATGTGATGTTAGTGGATCAGTTCTGGAGACCCTGAAAAGATAACCGACAAAGCACAGTTATTAAAACCCTTTGGAAGAGATCTTCAGTTGATTGCCTTAAATAAATCTGCTCAAATACTAAGGGGTTCCTACTGACAGCAAAAAAAGGACTGGTTTTGCTTATTAATTGTCAAGTAAGAGCAAATTGGTTTCTTATAAAAAGCAGGGAATTACAGTCCTCCTGTAATTCAGCCCATAACCACTTCAAAGATCATGTGTTCAAAATGTTTACTGTTCATGTAAATAACCTTTAATGGATCTTAAGGCTTCATCTTACTGAAAATTAACCTGAAAAGAATCAATTATACATGTCAGCGAATGGTCAACAGTTACCTAGTGTTGCTTTAAAAGAATATAGAAAAAAAATTTAAATGTGTATGTCAAACCTTGAGATATGATATGGGCTTACAATTGGGATTGTTTTAGTTTAGACCAAGCACCTTTCTGCAAACTGCAAGGCCTTGTAGTTTGGGAGTCTTGGAGCTGAAACTGCCCAGTCCTCTTTTGTCCCCCTATCAACTGAGAACATTTAAACATTTTATGAGTCAGCAAATGTAGAGTAGGACAATGACCAAAGACTGCTTTAAAGATTAATAGTGGAAGAAAACGTGGAGTATGTGGATCAGGATGGTCCTTTTTTTTTGTTTATTTCTTTTTTTTTACTTTAGCTACACCCGCATCTTTACAAATTTATTGCTGTCAGTATAAAAAAAGAACATAGGACATATGAATGACTTATTCAAATAAATCTCTCAGACACAAAGATCCTGTGATAGGGATTATTAAAAGAAATCTAAAATTATCAGCGGAGGATTTTACATATATAGTGCCAAAGCAGGAAAATACACATTTTAATAAATTCCCTTATGTCGAGCATGATAAGTCGCTCTCCACTGATTCATTTGCATAAATACCTACTGCTATATTTGGTAAATTATTACAGTAGGAACTTCAGTTACATAGTAAATGAAGGTTTATGTGAACAAAGTGAAGTGATCCTTAAAGTTTACTGTACATCAGGTTAAGATTTGGCTGGAATGGTAGGAAGTCCGATTTGTTCCATTATTGTTGTAAAGGGAAATGTTTGTAGACCTTTTTTTTTTTTAAATCAAATTTTCTTTTTCTAATATTTTTTGAAAATAATGGAACTCATAATTTACTCATGAGTTACTCTCAACACCTTATTTGAGATGTTTTTAAGGTTTGATTGCTGGAATGCATTCTTCTTTTATTCAATTTATTTCCATTTACAATACATTTGCTTTTTTTGCAACAAGAATGGAATAAATTCATTCCATAGACCGAGACTCTGAGTAAAACAATTTCACAGATCTCAGATAGAAATTAAAGAGAAAAAAAAGGTATGGTGAATGTATGTATCGTATGGTGCATAACTAATTTTTTGCAATCATGTTCATCATGTTTACACTGATGTTCTTTCATTTCATTTATTGTCAAATTTGATTTTAATAGCATTTACTCTACGACTGGGATGAATCAATGAATCGTAATTAATCGATTATTGAAATAATCGTCAACTAATTCAGTAATCAATTCATTGTTAACCGAAATATAGATATTGTAAAATATGCCTTTAGCTGGTAGAGCAACACAATAATTATAATAATCATATTAAAGTTGAAAAAAAGATATGTAACATTTTACATTTAAGATTTAAAAAAAAAAATTTTTTCGTCTGTCAATATGCTCTATCCAGAACTTCTCAAGTGAAAAGTTTTAGTTTCACCTGGTTTGATTTAAAAAAAATCTTCTTAAAGAACCTTTGGCTGTCAGATTATTAATGGAAAAATGATCAATATGCAAAATAATCGTTAGTTGCAGCCCTACTCTACAGTACGTACCAAAACTCCAGTCACTCCAGCATTTTACCTGGTTTCAGATTAGAAGAGACAGAGGTAGTGTTTCTCTAATAACTAATGTGGGCATAAATCACTTTTGACAATACAACAATGTATATCAGTCATTTGATCAGAGTGGTCATTCTGCACTCAACACAAGGCTTGCCTTAGCGAATCCGTCAATTAAAATTGTTAAAACAACATCCTATTCTTCATCAATGTGGTCAAATTTTTTGATAGAGTGCAGTTTTACAAGGTAGGCCTTTTGCAGTATTTCCATTTGGTTTAAAGTGAATTACCCAAGGACAGCAAACTGTTTTTCAAATTTGAGTTTTCTGCAATTTTAATGTTCTAATGAAGCTTATCTGACGCAACACTTTAAAATCCACATTAGAAAGAGCTGATCGGAAAAAAAAATAGTGTATGGTTCACATTAAATTCTGCAGGACCTACTGAACACAAATCAGGTATGGACAGCAATAAAGGGCACCAATCCTATTTGAGCTGCTTAAATCTACCAAAAACCACAAGTAATACTAACTCAACAGAGATAAAACTCCATCAGTTCCTTTTTAAAATGTTTTTTTTTTCCTACCTTTATGCATTAAATGGTAAATTTAGGAGAAGCATTTAAAAATGATCTTTCTTTATGTTTCTCCAAACTGTTTGAGAAACAGAGGTTGGAAATATGGATAGATTTGTGTCTAAGTTCTGACTTACAGTAGCACACACACACACAGCTGGAGCCTCAAAGTGGTATCAAATATTTAAGAGAACAAACTCTGGCATTAAAAGATTTCTCTTTGCAGCATTAAGCTACAGGATCACAGTCACATAAACCTGAAACCAACTCTCCTAAGTACATTTACCACTGATGTTCCTGTTCAACCAGTAAAACATGCAACCCCTCCACCCCAGGTTCACACACAGGACAATCCAGAGGAGACTTTCAAAAGCAAAGTGGTTCAACTCCTACCTGATTCCTGCAAGAAAGTCCAATAGAGTCAAAACAACTTCTGTTTAAAGGACCAAACCTGACAAACGGTACACACCCACTCAACCCCCCCCAATAAAGGGGGAAGCTAGCCGTGCAGAAATGAACGATCTGCTCCAGTGATTTCTGCTCATTTGAAACAAACTTCTAGCAGGAGTACAATTTTGAAAAGCATTCATTTGCATCAGCTGTCTCTCAAAGGGCATCATGACCCAACAGAACCTGACAATAAGCAACAGGCTTTTATTAACCTTACCCATTTGAAAAACACTTATCCTTCACTTCATTAAGTCACAGCACTAAACAATCTGTTTCGTACGTCAGTAGATCTGCTTTTTAGAGAAAGAGAAAAACAAAAAATGTACCTTAATGTTTTTACATTTTCTTTCAGGATCTAGTTTTATAGGGAAAGTAAGACCAACATGGTTTCCCATGATCACTATTTTAAAAAATTGCAATCACTAAATGTGAAAGTATTCTACTCTCCAAAAATCATCAAATATTCACACTTTGTTTAAGATGCTATGTTCCATTTACAGCTTTTCAGACAATATGATCAATTGCAAACATACCTGCACTAATCAGCCAACCACAGCTGTAATATTAAAAATTTCATGCCACATTTTTAAAGACAACTAATATTAACTGTCAACTTATCATTAAGGCTTTTCTAAGTCATTTTATCCTGCTGTGGAGATCTCTGAAAAATAAAGCCATACATGCAATCCAAGATGGCAAAATGCTGCTGCTTAGGGCAGCCAGGCCAGCAGAGGGAGCATGTCACTTCTTAGAATATGTCAGTTCAACGGAAAAGCCTATTAAAATATCTCTCGTCCTCCTACTTTTAAATCTGCTTACAATGGTTTTTATATGAGATGTCCCCGATGTAAGAACCATACGAAAATATGCCTATATATCCCAGTCAATAAGCAGAATATACATCACAGTATTTAACACTATTCTAATTTGAAGAAGGCATTCCTCCATTTTTTCACAGGATGTGATCTACACTCAATTGTCTATACCCCAAATGATCACAACAAGTGCTGATTCTATATATAGATATACTGGTTTTAATTATCCATTACAAGTTAACAATCTTGCATCAAATTTGAGTTTAACGGCAAAACTTGTCAAAGTGTACTGGGTTGGATAGTACTACAAAAAGGAATAATATTACTGCAGTTACTAAAAAATACTTGAATGGTTATATAAATCTAAAAAGATTAATTAGTGAAGAGGTTTGATTTAAACTGTTGCATGTTGGAAAGTCGGTTAATTATTAATGGGGAGCTATTATCCAATTTTTTTATGCATACCTTAAAAAAAACACACAAAAAAACACATAGAGTCAAGATATTTCCAGATATTTTTAACAAAATTCATAGTTATGCCAAAGCCTCGGCTCATTGCTTCAGAGTTAATATAAAAACATCAGTAGGGATTTCATCTGCAGCCTGATTGTATTATTATCAGTGTCCATCCTCCCCTATACTCAGAACAACAGCAGACGGAATGTTAGAGAGGAAATAAAAAAGTATTTACAGATACAGTATTTACCAATGAAATCTTAAAAGTTAAATCAACCCCCCCCCCTGAATCAGTTTCTGCCTCGGTCCCAAAACAATCTTTTGCCAGCTCTGACTCTGATCAACCTCTGTTTAACACCCCAGTCTACAGCACCCCTTGGTTGTTCAGATTAACTAAAGCAGTCACCACCCACCCACCCATGTGGCAGCCCCCTCCCAGTCATGTTAACCTCATGGCTAGGTTGCTGACTGGCATGTTTTATGACAGGAGGACCACTGTGACAGGGGTGGGACGTCTGTGGAAGGGGATCCTCCTCTGCTGACAAAGGCCAGGTTTCGGGGCCATCTGGTGCTCTTAATAGGCAGAGCCAACAGTGACCCTTCCCCAGCAGAGACTCAACCAGGACAGTCCATTGTCTGAAGCAGGGAGCCTGGCTTCAGGGTGACATCACCATCACTGCTGCTGTTCCTGCTGCAGCCGGCTCAGGTTCATCCGGTGCATCCATCTCAGAGGAAAGAAAAATCTGTTTTTATACATGATTTTCTCTAAAATCTTTTTTTTTTTCTGAGTGGGTGCTTTAATATTAACTATAGCTTATTTTTTCCCCAAAATGAAAACCAGACTTCCCATCAAGCAGCACTGCAGTAACACTGCAGGGTGTCGTTGATATTTTTGGCTGCTTCTGTGTTCCTGTCTGAACCACCCACACAACACCCACTGACCACACACACCTTTACCCAGACAATCTAATGGTTTTTCCCCCAAAAAAGAAGAAAAAGAAGAAACAACTCCACCATTATTATACTGTAGAAATATTTTTTCAAAGCACAAGGTGGACATAAAAGCAAACTTTCTAGTGTCATTTCTGATGAATGAATGGGATAGAGCTGCAGCTTTGCAGAAACAGCATGGGTTTCCTATTAGGCTGGATAAAGGGGAGGTTCACACCTGCACCAGAGCAAAAGATAAAGTCCAAAAACATCCCATTGCAATGACAAACCCAACTGATTAAAGTCTATTTAACATCTGTCTCATGCAGTAAATCAGAGCAGCTTAATCCCCAGCAGCTGGAGGAGGAGGACTCACCTGCGCTGCAGCCGGAGTGAAGAAGGGAGGAAGGGTGTGAGAGTGAGAGAGGGAGGGGAGCTGGATGTGAGTCTATGCAGCAGGATAGCGGCACGCCGTCTCTCCTCCTGCCTTTGTCTGCTTCAGTCTGAGAGCCGAGCCTCCCCGGAACAGCCACTGGGTCCTAAAGAGCTGCGGACCCGCCCACTGTGGAAAGGAAGGTGAGCGTGGGCTGGAGTGGGTGGGATCAGGGTCATTCAAGGTATGTTCAGTTAGACCAGAACAAACCTTGCAATGAATTTGTGGTTATTTAAAGTTTTGACTGAGAGATGAAAGATATGATACAGATAAGTCTGAGCCCCCATTAGGATTTTATTCTTCATTACTATTTTAATTATCTTTGATCAGGAAAAGAAACTTTTCAAATTCCTTTTTTTTCTTTAGATATTTGTGTACAGACAGGTTTAAAAACATTTTTAATTTGTTTCTTATGTGACAGGATATTTTAACAGACAATAAAGAAATATGAAAATCATTTATCTGTTTTTATTTAGTAATTGATGTGACTTCTCTGGAATCAATGGAACCTTTTTTCAACATTTAATGGTGAGAGAAACCAGGGGCGGAGCTAGATGGGGGGCCAGGGGTGGCCATGGTGATTTTTTGGGGCGATTTCCCATTCGTGTGAGAATTTTTAGATCATGCCGACTTTCAATCTGATCGTGCGTCGTAAGTCGTGTAGTGTACAGGGGGTAACGATGGGCGATCATTATCTTACGACCACCTCCTGTTTAGGATTCAAACATGTTTGATTTTCTCCCGACTGAATGCAATGAGTGAAATTGAGTTCTTTCTGTAAAATTGACAGACCGTAGTAGCCATGTTTGCTCAGTCATGTCTTTGTCCAAATACGTCGTCGCCTTTTCTTTTTAGGGCTTTTGGCAGAAAATTGCACAAATTTCCAAGGCAGCGCGGTTCACTATAGTGAGTTTAACATTCCCCTTCTATTTGTTTGGCTTCAGGATAAAGAGCTACAAAGCAGCTCCGTCTCACTGCGGAGCTAAGTCCCAAGTGCTTTTTAGTCGTACAGTGTGAGCATTTAGTTCGCATCAGAGCATCGTGCTGCACATACATTGTGAGCTGTGAACTCACACTGTAGGACTAAACCTTGCAGTTTAGCCCTACAGTGTGAGCTGCAGCTGCATGCAACGATTGAAAAAATAGTGTACGCCTGGCTTTAGCTAATCATTGGCCACCCCTATCTTTTTTTCTCTCAAGTAGAATATTCAAAACTATTTAATTTCATATACATTAAAAATAACTTCACAACAGAAACACTGTGGTTAATTATGCACATCAATATACCAACATTAGAGATGATTAGTTCAGAATTCATGCTCTTTCAGAACTAGATTTTGTGTTATATGCCGTAAAGAGAAAATGTGACTCTGCATTTCATCTAAGAGTCTTTAGTGAAATCATAGATACTGTAAATAACTATTTTAATAAAACCCTATTAAATTATCAATTTATGTCGATATTAGTACTGGTATATATCTATTTAATGCAGAATGATATTGATAAAAGTAGGAAAGTAATGACGATAGAAAAGATGTTCGCTCCAGAACTCAAACCCGAAAGAATTTTATCCAATTTTATCCAATCCTTCTTTTATCTAGACGGATGTTTAAATATATGCATCTATTTGTTATGAAAGGCTGCAGGAAACTATAGTTTGTCTTGATTTAGAAATATGGGCGTTGTCCTTGTTCCTGTTGGAACAGTGAAGATTGACCCTGAGGTTCTGGAGCCTATCCACTTTCGGCCATGCCATTAGTGTACATTGGTTATTGCCTGGTCACCCTTATAAAAATTTATGGCTACGCCTCTGAAAGAAACTGAGTCTTCAATACTCCTCAAGACATATTTAAAGGAATAGTACACCCAAAACATGATTAGCCTTCATTTTCTACTCACCCCCATGCTGAACAACACTCTGGAGTGACGAAAGTGCGCATTCAGCGTCTGCTCTGCCGATAATGCAAGCGTAGAAGAAGAAATGTGCTGTTTTCCTGTGCAAAGAAAGAAACAACGAAAGAAAAGTGTCTGAGGACTTCAGTGTTGAGGAAGAGCATGAGTTCTTTGCCGAGCTGAATGCGCACTTTCATCTGGTTTGGTCTGCC